GGCAGGCAGGCAGGCAGGCGGGCAGGCAAGCCAACTACTTCACAGGCTTCTGTCAAGAGAGCTAATGTGGAATCCAGTGAACTGAACTTACCGTTCTGAAGCTCTGAGTAGCCTTCGTTTCCATGGTCCTTAACAATTCTCGGAGATTTCTTATTCCTTTAATAATGTTGCTAAAAAAAAAAAAAAAAAGCAAGTGTGAAAAGCAAGGCTGAATTGTTCATAAACTATGAACAACGAAAAAAGAGAACCTTTCTTACGTTATATATATGTACATTCATGCATACATACATACAGTACATATGCACACTTGTGCTCAGGTTCGGTTAATAGTAACAGAGCAAGTCAGCAAACCTTCAAAAAATACTTTCCCAGATGGTGACTGATAAGAAGAACTTATGCTTCATTCTTAAGGTTTATCAAAAGACAGTGCCTTCTCCCATTGTGCTTGGCTAGAAGAGTGATCAGAATAGAGGATTAGTACTGTGGATTGATGTGTCAACCTAACTTATTACACAAGATAATGCCGAGGATCAAAAATGGGGGACAAAGCATGTTACTTTACGTTAAGCTCTTGGACTAAGGTAGGACATACTGATGGAACCAATTTTGTCCCCTGCTTTGTTTGGAGAAATTTTTAAAATTATATCAAGCCTAGTTTAATGCTTAGCCTAACATGTATCTGTATTTACTACTACAGAATAGTGAAAAACTGTGTCATAGTTTTCAACAATTGTCCTCAGATTGTGTGGGGTCTCAAATTGCCCATCCCTGGTATAGAGAGTCTGTACATCTCTCTCTCCCTGAATTTAGGATGTATTGTAAGTTACTTTTGTTGAGAGGGAACCCACTTTTCCCCATGACCTATAGTCTATCTTATAATATACAGATTTTAGCTACATAGAAAGGAGAAACATCCTAATGGTAACTGCTGTATGTTGTACTGCTTTGGCAAGCTCTATTTCACTGAAGATATTTAAGCAGAGGCTGGTTATCCATTTATCAGGGATGCTGTAAACTATAGAGCAGATCTCTATAATCCATGAGTTTTCTATGGAAGTTCCTCCTGCTTCAATCTGAAAGCCAGTTAATATTTTATTTTACACCAAAAAATGTGCTTTTGAGATGTCAACAAATTTGAAGTGCCCACCTGAAAGGAAACAGATGCATGCAGGCGCATAATTCACATACCAGAATATTTTATCCCCTGAAATTACATCATAGCCTGTAAGGATTTGTTGTGCTTAGAAGAACTCTACATACTTCCACTCTTAACTTAAGAAACAAAATCATTTCTTTAAATCGTCCCACATTTAGAAATCACTCATCTGATAAGAACATCAAGTGACCCACTTCACTTTCCACATTTTGTTTACTTGGCTTATTAAGAGATCTGCCTGCACCCTCTTGTGGCAGAGAAAGAAAGAGGTTCAATCCAATCTACGTTTTTTCCTCATATGCAGATCTTCCATGTATGTGGGGAGAGAATTGCAGCTAATTTTTGTAATTCAGAGTCCTGGAGTGATACCTCTGCTAACAATCTTTCCTTTTTTGTCATTAAATAAAGATTCTCCTTGTATTCTTAAACAGACAGGTAGTACATCTTTCTGCCAATTGAACACAGGGTTGACACAGACTTTAGGGTATTCAGACCAACTCACTCAACCAGGATTAGCAATCAGATGAAGGAGCTTTATGTATGTATAACTTGTATGCTTCCAGGGTGCCATTTTCATTAATGCTGAAGACAAGCTGCTTGGCAGGACCAGCAAATACATTCCTGCTACCCAGTCAAAAATTGGACAAGGGAAGGACTTGACTTCAACATCTCTTTATTTTGCATGAATATACTGTACAGCATTATACAATTTCAAGCAGTTCTTGCTTGTATCTTGTACTGCCTACTATTAGCTTTGAGCAAAGCTATATCCAAAGCCTATTATGTGTAACCATGTTCCTTGTTCATTGTATACCTACCCTCTTTTTAAATGGGCCACATATGCACTCTGCAGGGCTGCTTCCAGGAAGTAAGGAAGTTCAAAATCCAAAGGAGATCCATGAACACCTTTTATGCCTCTTGTATGTGTGTTATTGAAGCTCTGGTAGTAGAAGGGAGAGAGAGATGACAGATAAATATGAACCATAATTTTGCTTAAAGCCGATTCTATTCTTCTTCCACAAGGTCAAAGAAAATGACTATTATTAGGGAAATAGTATGAGATAAAGATAATTTGAAACTTGCTTTGAATTACTCTTGTTATTTCTTTATAGTCTTGGCCATTTTTGTACTGTTTTCACAAGGGGAATATCCCTACATTTCCTTCTGTATTTCTGCAATATAGTGCTGTGACGCAGATCTACATAACTTAAGAGTCACAAACTGTAAACAAAAGAAAAGCCCAAAACCACTATAGTACTAGCCCACTATAGGCTCAGTAGCTCCCTCCTTTCTGTTGTTCAATTGAAACTGAAAAAACAGACAAGTAGCCAAGCATCTGACCACCAGGTCCCATAGAACTGGATGGATTACAAATCAATACCTGCCCTTCTATGAGCCAGAAATTAGGGCTGTGCAGTGATTCAGATCTGAAGGGGAAAAAGTGCTTTGGAGGACATGGGGACCTTCATATAGCACCTCTTGGAAACTCCTGAAAGCAGCTGCATCTTTTCCCAGCAGAGCTGCGGTGTGATTCCAAGAAAAGATGGGTTTGGTTTAAGGCATAGCCAATGGATACTACATCCGCACTGTCACAGTGCAAGTCCACAATCCAAATTACAGACCTGATAGATAACTCAATAGTCTGTAATCAGATTACCATCTTTACCAGCTAGGGAGCACGGTAACATCTGCAGCAATCTGCAATGATGTCAGAATGAAAACACACAGGCAGTGATCTCATCACGTATATGCCATAATTACATTTTCCCATCTTGTATGTAAGCCGCTGTATTTGCATGATAATGTCAAGATGCATGTTTTGTCAATTGTACCCCCCATCCATGTTTCCTCTGTGGATTCACATCAATCCTGACTGATCTCAAAACATTAAAGAGGATCAAACCTGCTGGGATGCTGCCAGAAAATCCCAGGGTGTAAGCCAAACCTAAGAGTCAAAAACATCCTGGAAGAAGACTGGCAAAGCACTTCCATGTGGTTGCCAAGAGAATACCGTGGATGGACCAGGAATTGAGCATGACTTGAAGAAGACTTTTCTTTACCCAAAAGTAAAACAACCTTGAATTTAAGATGGTCCCCGTTCCCACCATATACAAACAAAAGGGAAACTTGGTATGCACCCATTATCAAATTTGTAAGTGAGCTAAGATGACCTTCTCATTTTAAAGTAAATTACTTGTGAGAAAAAATAGCCTTCATTTTAGATAAGTACAGTAAACAGGCTTATAATATGGTTTGGCATAAAGTACAGCTGAAATAGCATGCATTATTCAAAACCTGGCAATTTTCCTCAGAATCTTACATTTTAATCTGTGGTATTTTAATGATTTTCAAACCTGAGTTCTGAAATTCAATATTTAAAAAGCTGGTAAAATGTGGTGCTTACAATATAAGATTACAGGGATCTGATTCAAATTCTCACTCAGCCAGGTGCATAATGCCTTCGGCTACTTGGACTTAACCACCTCAGAGAACTATTACGTGAGCCTCTTGCGCACTTTGGAGGGAGAGTGGAACAAAAAGATGCATCAGGCATGGCCTCAGAATACATAATTTAGCACTTTTTCTGTCTTTCTTTCTAATGGAAAGCAAGTTAAACATTGATATAAATCCTTGGGATGCTAAAGGTTCCTTCGAGCTGACTTCCATTTACCTTCTCAAGTTCTTGCAGGAACACTTGAGCAATTACACATGCCCTTTCAAAGCAAGCCATGACCTCCTCTTCCCTTTCTGACAGCCGGACTTGGGAAGCAATGGAATTGGGTGAGCGTTCCAGTGCCAAGCCTATGAAGACAGCAACAGTGACTCTTCAATGCCATGCTCAAAAGCACCAACCATCAATTAGTTCTCCCTTCATGCAACCAACCCCATAATAACCTGTGCCCAGAGAAGCCTAACATAGCTGGAGGTCATCTAGTTTAGGGAACTTAAATCTTAGATCCTGATCTGTCATAGTGCCTGACCTCTGAAATAGCATCCCCCCAAAGATCTGTATGGCCCCCATCCTGACCATGTTGAAACGGTATCTGAAAAATTGTTTTTCCCCCCAGGCTTTGAGTTAGGATTGGTGGCAATCCTTCTGTTTGGATTTTATATGTTCGTTTGAATGTATTTCTTCTGAATGTACACTGTTCTTTCTGTTTTATTTTGGTTCTTGCTGTTTTTAATGTTGATGCCTCCCAGGGTTTTCATGAAGTTGGGCAGCTCTCTACATATGATAAACAAACAAATAAATGTCTGACAATGAATCTGTACACTCAGTCCATTCAGAGGGACCATTCTTACCCAGCTTAACTCAGACAAGTCCATTTTTTCTCCCTTTTGAAAGATTGGAATGATGTTCTCCAATCTTCTGGCGCTGCCCCCTGTACTCCAGGAGTGCCCAAATATTGTAGTCAGTGGTTCTGAGATCACATCCACCAGTTCCTTTAACACCCTGGGACATAATCCATCTGGCTCCAGAGGCTTGAATTCATTGAAACAGCAGCATCTGTTCTCACCATTTCCTTGCCTATTTTGATCTCCATTTCTGTTCTGCCTCCCATGGTCCAGCTTCTGACAAGCTGGAGGACTTTTTCCTTTTAGGAAAATAAAGATGCATAATAGGAATTAAGCAGTTCAGCCTCATTCCTAGTATTCATCACCATCTTGCCATCTTCTACCAGCAAACCAGCAGTTTCCTTAACTTTCCACATGTTCTACACATACTCAAAGAACCCAGACAGCTCTTTATGCAACCACACTGCTCTAATCAGCTATCTTCCTTTTTTCCCCCCTGGTATCTGTGTTTGGTTCTTATTTATCTCATTTTTTTCAAAATTTCCCAACCCTCCTAAACTATTTTTATTTTTCAGCATTTCCATCCATGGAATCCTTCCTACTTTTCCCATTAGCTTACTGGGGTCAGCTCTTTTGAAATCTAGACACTAATCTGCCTACCTTCAGTTTTCCATGCCTGCAGTATGGTGAATTCCAGAATCACATGGCCACTCTCTCCCGAAGTTCCTACAACTTCCATTTCCTCAACTATTTCTTCTCTGCTAACAAGAATTAAGTCCAACATAGCCGATGCTAATTCCCTCCTCCACCTTTTGGATGATGAAGTTGCCTCAAGGATGTGTCAAGAACCTGTTGTATCTCCCACTAGTCAGAGTGTGATTCCCAGTTGATGTTGGGATAATTTCAATCCCCCATTACCACAGTGATGTGTTTCCTGGACACCTCAGCTATCTGATTTGCAAAGATTTCATCTGTATCTTCTGCTTGATTGGGTGGCCTGTAGTACTCACCCAGTGTTTAACAGTCATTATTGTTATATATTGTTTATATATTGTTACATGTAAATTATATTCTTCCAGTATTATATTCCAACTAAGAGTTCCATCCTACCAGGTTTCAATAGCACCAATAATGTCATATTCCACCACCACCACCCATACTAGGATTTCAAGTTCTCCAGGTTTGTTCTTCATACTCTGTGAATAGGCATCTGAGCCATTTAGTACTGCCCTTCTTTGTCTGCTGCATCTCCTGATGTATTCATGAGCACTCCTTCCTTCTTACCACTTGCTTCCTTGTTGTAAGGTTTACTGTCTTTGGGCTTATGCTTTGAGTATGATTCTGGATCTCCCTTCCCCTTCAGGTGTAGTTTAAAGCCCACCAGTTGTTGATGGCACTATATAAACAAGCATTCATTCATCCTAATAATTTAGGTCAGCTTTTTATGTACAGTATATATGTGGAATCTGGTTACTGTCTACAAATTATTATAGATATAGATACAAATACTTAAGAATGGGACAGACACAGTTCCACAAATAAGATCAATTTTCGTACTACCTTTTTCTGCCTCTCTAATTAGGAACCTGTATTTCTCCATTCAATAGCTCCGTAATGTTCTTACCTTCCTTTTCCACTCTTTAAATGGAAAAGAAATAGCTTAAAGATATCTTTGCAGACAGAAAGTCCCAAGTTGAATTCCTGGCACCTCCAAGTAAACCTGAAAAAATCCTTGTCTGATCCTCTGTACAAATACAACCACTCATTATAGATAAAATTGAGCTTCAGAGATTAAAAGGTCTTATTCAGATATAGCAGTTTCCTGAGTTCCTTCTCTCCGTTCGTCCTTAGCTACCTCATACCTCCACACCCCAGTTTTTTTCTTTTCTTCATCATGCCTACACAGTCAGCCTGGAAACAGGAACAGAATGTACAGAGGAGGTGTTGAGAATGGAAAAGCCCTTCCATTTATTACCGTTAATCTTGCAAGACCTGATCTCTGTCAGTTGATGCAGTCTTAAATTCAAGGATTTAAAATCATATGGGTCATGTATCTTTCTCTCTCCCCTGCCCTCCCCATCCGAACATCAGAAGCAGAAACCCTTGGCAAAAGCAGTCCATTAAAAGCCATTCCAAACAAAAGGCCAAACAATCTGATGCCCTCCAGATAGAGCTCTGTTACCCATAAACCCTAGCTAGCATTTCCTTTGGAAGTTGAAATCCAACATATCTAAAATGCAAAGTCTAACAAATTTTATACTACAATGGGGAAAAGTAAAGATGAAAAGTTTCTTTTTGGCTCATATACCATGTTATGAGTCAAACTGATTCCTGGGTTGCACTACAATATCACATGGAGTCTTTTCATCACACAGATTCATTATGACCTTTGTTTCTTCCATACATGCACAAACATGCACATATACAGAGGCATTTAAATAAATTTGCCCAATAATACACAGGGGCATAAGCACAGAGAAACACCCTTGCTGAAAGATCCCAAATTCTCAACAGCACTATCAGAACCACAACTAAGCACATGGTCTGGAATTGAAATACTAAGCACTTCAGGAGTTACTGTCTGTGGTGCCCTCCTGGATTTTTGCATAATAATGGTCATCCTAGATCCAATATGTACCTGTGTGTTTCCTAGTTCTGGCTTCCAGTCTTGGCTCCAACATACTTCTACTTTCAGCAAGCTGCAATAAATCCAGGGGTGGCTCTGCCATTAGGCAGAACAAAGCACATATTCAGAAGGGGGGAGATGAAGCAACACATTGTCTTGTATAATGAAAGGGAAAAGAAGTAGCCTCATTTGGGGGGCCTGTTGTGCACTCCTAACCTAGGTGCCTATCCTCAGATATGGTGGGGGTCAATATCCTAAGACTAAACCACCAGTGTATTTGGAATAGGGAAGGCATGCCAGTCCCTCTCATGTTGCTCTTCTTTAAATACTCTTCCCCAGAGCTATTTATCCCAAGAGAGACTTCTTTGACTCTAATCAGCAAACAGCCCATGGGAGTAGGCCAGACTGAGCACAAAGTAGATGTGCAAGGTACGTAAATGGCTTCTAAAAAGGAGCAGAGAAAGGACTTGATATAGCTTCAGACCTGCTGCTCCCTTTATCATTCTACTGATAAAGTGATGTTTCACACCAGCCACAATGCCTTAGTGATGGGGCTGGCAATGATGCAGCCAGGAGCAAAGATTATCCCAGGTCTTATTGGCCACTTGAGTCCGCTGCAGGAATACCCCTTTCCTGCCTGGCTACTGGGTGCTATGCTCTTGGGCCATTTTAGCTTGGGCTGTGAGAGAGATCAGAAGCTGACTTGCACAGCATTCTTGTTTGCTTGCTTGCTTTTGACATAGGAATATAATCTCTTGAAAGACTTGTTGGAAGACTGACCTCCTGCTCTTTCACTGAGCACTATTATCTTCCATATCTGTTATGATTTGGGGTGCAAGAGAGATTGGACATCTCTTTTCTGCCATAGGACTATCAATCTCCCAGTAGTTAGATAGTTCTATAGTCCTATGGCAAAAATCAAAGAAACAGCAAAAAAAAAAAAAAAAGATGACCAGTTGGTGGGGTATATGAGAAGGACAGGATGAAGCAGGAGGAAACTCTCTCCACCTCTGTGCAAGTTTCATCCTATCTGACAGGTTGCCAGTTTTGGGTTTGCCTATTTTGAATTTCTTTGCCAAGGTGTATCAGTCTTCCAGGAGAATGATAGTCCTACAGTTAAATAAAGAAAAGAAGAAGAAGAAGAAGAAGAAGAAGAAGAAGAAGAAGAAGAAGAAGAAGAAGAAGAAGAAGAAGAAGAAGAAGAAGAAGAAGAAGAAGAAGAAGAAGAAGAAGAAAAGGACATTTTGGCTCGTCTGGGGATATATGAGGGGAGCAGGATGAAGCAAGAGGAGCTGTGTCAAAGTACCATGAGCTCCATCCCAACAACTGTTGTTGTTTTTGCCATCAGACTATGGTATCAATCTTCCTATAGTGATCCAATGGGATTTGGGGGGAAATTCTGGCTGATCAATTAGTGGGGCATACAAGGGAAATGGGAAGAAGGGGTGGGAGCTAATCTGCATGCCAGATTTATCCCAAATCTCATGTTGGGGTGTTTTTGTTTGGGAAATCAGTAACCCTATGGGGAAAAGAGAATTGTGATAGGCTGGCCAGTGAATATAGGAGGGATGTCGGATGAAGGTGCAGGGAGTGCCTGGAGATCCCCAGCCCCATCCCACCTCACGTTATGGGGAGTGATGGGTGTTTATTTTTCCCACCAGTAGGTGACGCTGGGTGGAAGGGGAAAGGAACTTGGGGAATCCACCAATCACTGCCCTGAAACTGTCCCACATTAGATTTGTAAAGACAGCAGCTTCATTGCTGAGGCATAGTAAAGCTTGGCCATGGAGCCAGTGCAAATTATGTCAATGTGCTTTTCTGATGACTCAAGGATGGGATGAATGCATATTATCCAGCTGTTAGAAAGTGTTTTAGGTATGTTTGGTTTTCTTGAGGGTTGCATTCTGTTGGGAGAAATTGATCTGGGGTCTATGTTCCAGTGTTGTGTAAGGCCAAAGGACAGAAGAGATTGGTTGCAGAGACTGCATGATATTAGGCAAAAGCCTGCATTTCAGCTTGAGTCCATTCTATAAAGTACTGTAGGCTGGCTTAAGGAACCAAATCTTTGATAACAACATGTAGCACCTGTGCCTCCCTCAAGAGATCAGGTATATTTTCCACTGCTTGTTTGTTATTCTGGTCAGAATATAGCACTCCTCAAGAAGCATTACAGGGTCTAATCAGGACAGCCAAACAAACCCAGTCCAAGAACTGCTACTGTGGTTAAAAACCAAGTCCCAGTTGACAGTAGTTGGTCTTAAGACAGGGATGGGCAGCTCCTGGGCCGCGTGTGGCTGCTAAACTCCCAGAGTTCCCTCAGGTTGAGAATAGCCAAAAGTTTTGGCCAGTTTTTGTTTACTCTTCTTCGTCTGTTCATTTTGGGGTGGGGGGATTAAGAGAATAATAGATGCCCTAAGCTTTGCAGAGGCTTAAGTACTAATTTCATTCCTTTAAAAAAAAAGAAAGAAAGAACTTCTTTCCCCAAACCCACAACTTCCACTTGAGTTCTAAGAGGCAACATGGGTGGTTCATGCCTCTGCAAATCTTAAGATATCCATTTTATTTCAAAACCACCTAAAAAGAGGCTAAAACATTTAGCCACCTCCAGTCCAGTGACATCATAACCACACCAGCTATGCCCCCTGCGGAGGCAAACAAATATTAAAGCATGGCCTTGACTTTGCACACACAAAGTCGAGGCTAGGGCTTTGATTGCACTCCCCAACCACCACTTTGCCTTTTTTGATCTCCCTGCAGATGCCAGTGTGGCCCTCAGCCACAAGAAAGTTGTTCATGCCTATCTAAAATTTGCTTAATTGTAACTGAGTTCTTAGAAAGGTGCTGTATACTGGTCTATAGTTCACAAAGGTTTGTGTCATGGTAAACATTTGAATCCATAATTAGAAAGGAAGAGGCAGAATAGTAGCAGTATTCCCACACATTCCCCACTGTAAGGGAGGAATGAATGAAACGTGTAAGTACAAAGCTTATTCTCAGTTTAATACACCACAAATTTGAACCAAAAGCAATGTGACGAGATTCACATATCACTTTAAAGTATAGATTGTTTAATCTTTTTTTTTTAATTAAGCACAGTTAAGTTGATTGGGTTCAAAGCCATGAGGCCACAAGGCACAGTTTACTAAACCATTAAGGCTGGATTCTCAGACCAAAATCAAACACATAATGACTTAGCTGATGTCTGGCTTTACAGTGTATTGGCAGCAAAACTGCCTTGAAAAATGACAAAATCAGTTATGTATACACTGGGAAACAGTGATTGTGTTTGCATAGAATAAGCAAATATTACTAATAATCTAGGTTCACTGTACATGAGTTACTCATTGATGCATACAGCCTTTTCATTCTCATATTGCTTCCTTTACAAGCTAGCATAAAACTTGGTTTGCTCATGCTTTACAAATAGTTACTTTTTTAGGAACATACAGGTCAGGTGCATGTTACATTTGTAATTTCTGATCATTTTAGTAGGGAGCCATAGAATAGGAAAATTAGTCTAGATGTACGCACATATAGCTAAGCCATGATAAGCCCATTCTTTTTCAGAACTGTAGCTTAATGCTCTAAGTGAACCTGACCAATGACTCCTATATTTTAAATTATGATATGTTACAAACCTGAGTGAAGTGTGTCAGATACTATCATTAAGGGGTCCTCAGAAATACATATCTTTATGCAACTAAGCATATATATGTAAGCAGGAAAAGCCCATATAAAGGAACTAATTAAGCAAATTAGTGTGTTTCATAGGCTATTTGATCTGCCACAAAAGCAAGAGTGGGCAGATAGGCTATTGAAAAGAAATTCTTATGAATTAGGAACTTTTCACAGTAGCAAATAAAGTCGTAATAAAATATACATAAGTAAGTCTGGGAGATACAAAGGCTTCCAATGATTTATTATTATTAACTCAAGGATATGATTTCTTCATGCTTAAGCCTTTCTAATCCAATAACTACAACCATTTGCCAAATAAGTACAGATGACATGCTCCCAAAGTCAATAGAATAGCAGAGACTTGCTAAGCTGTGGCCCCTTGGGGAAACAAGAAACACACATCAGTGTGATGACTGGTGTACAAAATGTTCACTGCAATAGTACATAATGGTGTTTTAATTTTGATTTTTACATACCAGTTGAAGGTATCTGATCATTCCAGCCCTCTATTCGCCTAACAAGTGGATAGGTATGCTGAAAAGGATAGAAGAGGATAGGCAGATAGCAACTATTTCAGCAGCATTCATAAACAGAACTGAAAGGAAACAGAAGATGAAGAGTGCAAGCAGAGATATTTTTTTCCGGATTCCCCAGAAAAACAGCTGAATCATAAACCCTTTCATAACATCCCTCTCTCCCAAAACACAGAATAAAATGGCACATGCAGAAGAGATTATTATTTTATAATGGCTGAAAATGCAGCAAGGAGAAACGTAAGTATTCTAAAATGGAAAGAAGAACCAAATATTGTCAGCTTGATAAGCACTAAAAAGCTATAGCAAAGAGCCAGTGTGGGATCCACCAATAGAGTGGTTCTGATATGGTTTGACCCATGAACCCCTTTTCCCAGTCTCAAATATTGTTATTACCCCCACAAAAAAACACCCAGACTCTGTTGTTTTACACAAGCATCAGTTCCAAACTGGATCCTTGACTCAATAACAAGCAATTACAAATTGCTTCACTACCCCCAGGATATGCCTGAATTATCCCCTTGGGTTATTTAATTACCCCAGTTTAAGAACCACTGCTCCACTACAAACACATTGTCACTTTTGACTGGGTAGAAGCAAACACCTTGTTCAAGAGTCATTCCTACTTCATGCCATCAAAGGCAATACTTTTTCAGACCTTTCACCTGAATCTGTCACATAGAACTAAGTTGATTTCTTAAATATATTGTCCCTCTTCTCCACCTTTACTTGCTTCTTCTGTCTTTTTCATAGCTTATCTGCAATACACACAAACTTGTTTAATAGTCATTTACTCTTCCAAAGACACCATGCCATGTACAGTCCAAAGAGTTGGGTAGAGCAGTGTTTCTCTTGACAACTTTATGATGTGTGGACTTCAACTCTCAGAGTTCTCCAGCTACATGACATTTCCAAGGTTCAGAAGAGAAAAATCATGGCACTTTAAGATACAGATTTGCAGTACAGGTAAAGCTCTCATGTTCTCCTGACTATTTTTCTACTTTTTAAAAAGCAAAAGATTATAGCACTACTGATTTGTCCTTGTTGAGTTAATCTCAATCTACTACTGAAGACCAAAGAAAGTGAAGAAACGTGCGGAGTGTTGTTTGCTTGTTTTATAACTAAAAAAAAAAAAAAAGATATCTATAGGGCTAATCAAAAATCAATATTTTAGCCAGGCATATATATTATGTATAGATTAGAATTTTGTTCATTATATTCAATACCTCATCAGCTTTTCTAAATTTAAACTCAGTGCAACTCCAACTAAATAAAATAAAATAAAATGTTTGGAAGATAAAATAAATAAGGTTATCTGAGCTGATTTTCCATACCATCATCACAGTCAAATCAGAAATCATTCCAATGACCACCTGCACCCCATTACCTTTAATAACAAAAGCTTCTGTTAGCAGACGCAGCTTGTATAAAGGTTTCTTCTCTACTACAATGTCTTCAAGGCCAGCTCTTGCATACATGCTTAGAGCCTCGGTGTAACAGCCTTCAATATAATGAAGCTTTGCGAGGATCAACATTGCTTCCGTCATATCTTTTGGCTGGAAAAATAAAAATGTTCATCAGTAATATAATAAAGCTATAGTTATGTAATATTTGTTTTGGAAATATTTCCCTGTTGAAGATCATGTAGAATCAAGCATCTTGTTAAACAAAATCTTTGTGACCTTTGAGTATATGCTGAAATATAATGAGAGCAGATCTCTCCATTCATTCGAAAGATATATAGAGATGGATCTCCTTTGTCTGCTGAAATTAACAAGGCAGCTCTCAAGAACAGGAACACCCTGTTGTTACAATGGAGCACCCACATGCTTTGCTGTTATGGGTCAATGGATGAAGCCATCTGGTTTTCCCCCCAAAATCTTCAAGAACACTCTATTCTGCGTGAAGTGGATCTCTACTAGTGTACTTTGACTGCAGTTTCAAAATTGCTCAGGGGATGGAAAATCTTTTCCTTTTTGAAGAAATGTTGGGTAGGCAGGCAAAACTTGAAGCTGCTTCAAAAAAGAAAAAAAATGGTAGCACCTACCATGGGCAAAAATGAACACATTTCAGCTATCCTTTGAAAAGACACTGAATATATCCCTTATTTTTATGGAGTATAATCAACCTTTCAAACATATTGGAACAAGGGAAATTAAATCTCACTCTGATATAACCCTACATTGGCCTCCTCTTGCATCCAGCTTAATTGTAGTACTAGCTGCATCCATTTTAATGTTCTAAATAACCATTGCCTTGTTTTTACCAAGTACACCAGCTTGTGCACCAAAGTACTAGAACGTCCATGAACCTTGACTCAAGCAGATCCACTAGAACCTTGCTAACACTGTATGTATATGGCCCAGTGTTCATATTATATTATGCAGTAATAGCTATAAGCAATGGAGTGACCTGAAACACTTACACAAGAGAGTGCTTTATTTGTGACGACACAAATGCTCAAAATTATCTTAAGAACACCTCTAAATGGCAGATTCCTACATGGTTAGTACAGCTATTTCTCAGTCACATTCACATTCTCCAAACCAAAAATACTTTAGAACAGTCTTCCAGCTGTGTTGGGCTACCCAATGTTGTCATTTGTAGGAGACCAGATTAGGAAGTTTGCCTCAGAGTATGAAAGTCAGTGCACGGTTAAAATAATAACAACCACTTTGCTAGTCTTTTAAGTTAAGTATAAATTAATTCTAGGTGAAAAAACATAGGAAAATTGACAGACTATTTTTTTTTCATAGTTATGCTGGATCAAGTGAATTAATAACCCATTGATTATTGGGGGTAACCCAGGTGAAATAGTTTGTCAAGCTCTCCTCATATTTGTAAATGACACTTGTACAAAGTAGTAACTTCCCCAATTTGTAATGAAGACTCACATTAAAGAATTAATGCAGATTTTTAGAAGTCAGAGCTTCTAAAAAGGGAAACTTTGATAGAAGCACAAAATCCTACCATGCTGAATCAATAGCTATGACTCTGGGATAAACTGTCCCATGTGGAAATTTTCAAGTAGCAGGCCAATGAAAGGGACTGTCAGTAGCTTTCATAACAATAAGTGCACAGCTAAACTCCTCTGCCTATCATAGTATCTCATTAAAAAAAAAAAAAAAGAGTGAGAAAGCCTCATTTATCATTAGCACTGCTAAAACAAATCTATAAACACATAAGTGGGATCTGCAATACAACATTGTCCTCACTATTAGAGCCTGAGAAAAGATGTAGTTGTTTTAATGAGTCAGTTGATGTGATTTATTAAAATAGCCACATCCTTTTTCTAGGCTCACATAGAATCCTGAGAAAAGATATAAGAGGTGCTGTGCTCACATTATCACACATTCCAAAGCACCTTCTCCAAGTCATGTTCAAGAGTCTTAGTAGCTCTAATTTGGGATCCCAGGACCTAGCCACTCATGTCTTTCACAAGGACACTGTATTCTATTTCCCATCCCCACCCCCCACAATTATTGCCTTCCTCCAAGTCAGCAATATTTCATGGCTCCTGTTTAGGTTCAGTCCTTAGTAGCCACCCCTTACATATGTGTCCCTACATTTTTTCTATACTTCTGGAAACCTTCAGCTCCCTCAAACCTGCTAATACTTTCATTTTTTAACGTGGATGTTGCCATGATAGAAGGGCTGGCTCTTGGAGGACAGAATTGCCTATTAATATATATGGTGCCGAAAGTTTAATTCAGTAAATCCTAACAAATCCTAACATTTTTCTGAATAAAAATTGTTGCAGAAAGAAAGCAAATGGAACATTTATTTTAGACTTTTAGAAATGCATTGGGGATGGTATGGGGGAGATAGGTGGGATTGAAAGATTCCAACATTTTGTTAACTAAACCATTTGATTGTACATCATTAGCAGTATTTTTAATGTTCTTGTTTTATTTCTGCCAAGAATGCCTACCAGTAATTTTCCTCGATTTAGAATGTCAGTCAAAGACTTTTTGGCGTCACTCAGTTTGGGCTCATTTTTTTCCATTAATGGCATGGTGTTCTTGATTTTGGCAAGGTTCTCTTTCAAGCATAGCTCCAGCAGTGCCTCTGCAACTAGTAGATTCTCATAGTCTTCTGTAAGACATAGTCAATAGAATAAAAAATTACACACTGCATGACGTTCCCATATATAGCAGGACAGAAAGATAAACGTTAACCACTATATAAACATTCCCTTGCATAAGGAAATTTGCACCGAGTGCAAAAGTTATTTATGTAATAAAAGTCTAGTTTAAGTTATTCTCTATTCATTTATGGACATTTCTTAGAAACTTTATTATTTAGAAATACTAATCAATGTCCTGTGTGCTGTATTCTACTTTAGATTTGTTAATATGAGCTCTTTAGAGAAAGAAACACTAATTTGTACTGTCAGCTTATTTAATGAGATGGACAGAGTTTTGTTCAATCAAGAAAACTTTATTGGAAATAGAGTCACAGTCTGTTATTTAATTTTCTTGTTACTGTATTCTAGAAATTTAATCAATAGGACATTTACACAATAATTCCAGATTTTGCTGCGGTCCTCTGTATACTTACATAGTAAATAGTAACTGAACGTAATGGGATTTACTTCTCAATATGCATACATAAAACTGCAGTCTGACTGCATCAACATCAAGGACTGACTCAAAAGTCTGTACACACAATATGACTTTCTATGCCTCTCCTCTCCCCAATCCCCCTCTCCCAACCTTACAATCTACTCAGGAAACTAATAACTCAATAAATTTTGAGAGGCATAACTGCAGCTATGATAAAATAGGAGTCAAATCAAGATGACATTGTCTAATTTATCTCAATAGGCTGCACATTCAACTATTAGCCCCTGTGGTCTTTAATTTCACATCTGCCCACATCCTAGTTTGTCCATGGGGTCTTATGACAGATAAAATACAGATACCTATAATTTTAAGAATTGTTTGCCTCCCAGAGTCACTTAGTTGAGATGGGGGGGCTATAGAAAATAAACAAACAAACAAACAAATAAGATAAAATAGAAAAATAAAATGTTAAAACATTCATGCCATAAATAGCAACTAAACATAAATATGATCTGAGTTCAAAAACAGCATCAACCAGGAGTGTCCAGGGGGGTGTCAAAAAATCAAGAGGATGGTTGCAACTGTGTGATTGAAGCTGTTTTTTTTATATGTGTGCTTTTAAAAAGTATGTGGTTAATACTGTATAACAGTTTAATGTTGAATATGTAAGGTGATTAAACCTTGTTTCAACCAGTTATCTGAGCAAAACCCCACTGAAACAGTACAAATTACTTCTCAGCAAAAATGTGGAGAATTTTACTGTCAGGCTTTTTGCTTTAGTTCAGATTTTGTAACAGCAACTGTGCTAGACATAATTTAAGCATGCAGAAAACATGATCTTTTCCTGGAAAGGACTACAAAGACTCAATTTAAAAATACAGTAATATTTTACACTGTAACATTTTTCAACTTTCCAGAAGTCGATTATATTTCCAAAGCAACAGCAAAGCTTTCTCACATCCTCCCACTTTTAAAAAACAATATGATGTAGCTTTTCTTTTCCTGCCACTTATTCTCTCTCTCACCCCCCCACCCCATACCCACCCCCTTTTTTTCCTGGAACAGTTGCAAATGCAAAAGTGATTGAAAAAAAATACATGCTGATATGTGCATGTGCAACAAGCATGCATTTATACTCTTAGGCGGAGCCCACAAGTTAATTTAAAATTGGTGACGTAGCCCCTCTAGAGACACAAAAAGACTGTGGTTTGAGGCAAAGGTTTCAATGGGGGGGGGGGGGAATCCAAGCAGCTGAAGAGTAGTTTCCTCCTTCTCTGACTCACAGTCAATTTTATTTTGTACTGAAAGTTTTCTCTTTAAAGTTGACATTGTATTTTGCTTAGGATGTAACCAGAATAAATGCAAATATCCAAAGTACAAAAAAAACTGGAAAGAAGGATCACAGATGTTCTGCCCCTTTTGTTTCAGTGATGTTGCTGGTAGGCAATTCTTGCAACCATGAGAAAATATGAACCACTTCCCCTTTTCTTAATCCCCACCCAGAGGTATCCATAAGGAGGTTAAAAAAGTCAAGATGGCAGCAATAACCTTGGGATTGCAATGCAGGATTAAAAGGGTAGGGCTTTAATTGTATGGTTGTGGCCACCATCTTGACTTTTTTGACCTCCCAGACATCGCTGGCCCCTCTCCACTGAAATAAACAGCTTACATAAAACAAAATGAATATCTAATGTATTAACATGTTAAATATCCCAGGTCCTGCTGACCTCCAGCCACAATCCCCAGGATGGTACCTTTGGGGGTTTCATATCAACTGAGATATGAGGAATTGCTACAAGTATGTCTGCATGTGTGTGGACATGGAACAGTTAAATAACTAGCGAAAAGTAATGATACATTTAATTTCCATCCTCTGCTTTTCAAATTTCTTTATGTGGCCCACTTCTTTACGCAGTTCAGCCCCCATCATGCCCTCCAAAGGCTGGTACTCCAGGGAAAATTGTATCCAGCTACTCTGGGACAAAGCCAGTCCCAAATTTCCATTGGGACCAGCACTAACAAGCACCATTCTGCAGCAATCACATCCTTTAAAGATGTGCTGTATAGCCTCTATCAACATCTTGCTCCGTTTCCCCCCAAGAACACTGCTGAAGTTCCCCAAGCGGGCACCCTCCCAAAATAATGAGCCACAAATCCTGTGGTCCTCAACCAGCCCTGGTTGTAGTTCGACACATGTGAAGACTGTCAGCTGGGGAGAAGCTTCTCTGACTTAGCCTCCGTGAGACGCCCACATACCAATCAGGCAAGACATACCAATCTGCCTTGATAGCACCATCTGGGCACCTTAAACCCTGGTCTCAGTGGATGATGGAGCCACCCTTTTTAGACAGCAGTGGAACCCTTCTTGCATTTTGGCCCTTCCCCGCTCATTCTGGCCAGAGGGGTTCTAGATGCCTGTTTTGGCTATTTTATTTATTTATTCACATTTGCTACAACTGCCCAACTCCAAGGGACTCAGTGCTTCCAAACCCAGTCGTGATGGCTGGCAGGACATAAAAAGCAGCCTGTTCTCCAAAGGCCCTGCTTGTTGCCTTTCGCTGGTGCTCATCCCGAGAGACCGCCTCGTCCTTCCGAACAGGAGCGCGTCGTCCGGCCGCGCAGAATTAGGCCAGATGCCGGGCGAGGACACCTCGGCCGGCAGGAGGTCAGGAGAAAGGCGGAGGGAGCATTACTGCTCCGTCACTGGCTCCTCGGCGTATCTTTCCTTTCCTTTCCTTTCCTTTCCTTTCCTTTCCTTTCCTTTCCTTTCCTTTCCTTTCCTTGTGTGCGTGTGCCAGAAAAAGACGGCTACTTCCGTCCTAAATCTACTCACAGTCGCCTTCTACATATTAATTCGGAAGGAAGCGCTTCTGAATTCAATGAGATTTATTCTCAAACAGAGTAAACGTCACTGGATTAAACTAAACATCGCTGGGGAGAGCGCTGATGACTTCCCTTGAAGACAGGCTCACCCGAGAACTGAGTTGTCAACTGGGGGCACATGAGTGTGTGAAGGGAAGAAAAGGTAAAGTCTCCTTCAAGAGCAGAGGGCAAAGCTGAGAAAGAGGGAGAGGCAGCCGAGGCGTGCAAATTACAGTAAAACTGGTACGGAGTGAGCGGAGGGTGG